ATAAAAATGAACAAAACTACTATATATAGTAACCAACCAACCCACTTAACAGCTTTTCAACCAAAGTGGAAAGTTTTCACCAAATCATAAACGAGCGAGCGATCGACCATAGCAGGACTATGCGTCGACGCATAGCCTGCAGTTTTAGGCAATTTGAAAAGTCTTAACAGTATGCGTCGACCATAGGTCGGCGTGCGCCGACCAGTGGGAAATTGCATACTCCATGCGCCGACCCTGCGGTTGACCATAGGTCAGCGTGTGCCGACCAGTGACCAATTTAACTGCTTCATGCGCCGACCCTGTGGTCAACTCACAGCCTGCAAATCTGCAAAAATTGATGTTTTTGTGACTTTTATGCATTTAGTCATAACCACTAATCTTCCACATATATTGAATTGAATACAACAAGTTAGATGGATATAGGAAGGATATGAGAGATGAAATATTGCATTTGTCTTGTAGAGGTAGAGCCGATAAGGTCGATTCATCCATGGTTGTGTTTTGTCATCATCGAAACTCAAGTACGTATGTTATATGAGAGTTTGCTCTTACAATGGCTTTCTTCTTCTGGGTTTTTTTCTGTTATTTTCGTGACGATCAACCTCCCTGATGAACTTCCATGATGTGGGTTTTATACTATTGTTCTTCTTGGTGATTCTGGACTTGGGTGTGTGGTTTGTTACGAATTAGGGATGAATTTGTTGGTTGATCTGAAGAACTTGTTGCGTTCTTGTGGGAGATTTTTCAGGAACTGTATGGTTTTGATTTGTTTTGGTTTGAATTGGACTTGAGGAAAGTTTGTTTGATTCTGATTTGGTCTTACGTTGGTTGTTGCTGCGCGTTTCTTGCTTGGTTATTGTTGCTGCGCATTTTTATGATTTGTTGTTGTGGGTTCTTGCGTTTTTGGAGGCTGAGTTGTTGTTGGAAGGGAACTCGTTTGCAGAATTTTTAGGGGAAGCTTGTTTTGCTGTGTTTGATCCAAATCTGGTTCAGAAATTTTGGGAAGGTTGTTAGTGACCTGTTTGGCAAAAACCAATTTTTTTAGAATAAGTGCTTTTTCCAAAAGCACTTTTTCCAAAACCACTTTTCTAAAAATCACTTTTCTAAAATCACTTTTCTCTCTCCTGACATGAATTATAACAGATGTTGTCGGGTCGGTGCCGGGATCGGAAAAATAAAAAGTCGGGAGCCGGCGACGACTTTGTCGTTGCCCTCCCGACATACCCAATGATGACTTTTAACTAAGGGTATCGGAACTGATCAAAATCAATTTTATTGATTAAATTATTTTCATCTGTTGTGGATTTTTCTTTGCAGGTTCGGAAAAATAAAAGTCGAGGAGTCGGATACGAAGACAAATTTAGGAAATTAAAACTTTAGAATTTAGGAATTAACATTTGTAATTTGTAATTTCCTTTGTAATTGTTCTCACCCTTGTAATAAAAAATAAAATTTAAATAAATAAATTTTATTCTTTATTTTTCGATCAAATTTCTCCAATTAAAATCTCCAAATAATTCAAATAGTTCACCCGATTAACTCAACTGAACAAATTTATTTAATTAAGTTTATCCGACTAAATTCCTCCAAATAAACTCAAACGATTAAACTCACCTGACTAAATTTATTAGATTAAATTCGTCAAATAAATTCACCGGATTAAGTTCATTCGATTAAAGCTCATCTGATTAAATTCAAACGACTAACTCCATCCGATTAAACTCATCCCAATATATTAGTGTGATTAAATTCATCCAATGAAAATTAGTCGATTAAGCTTCGACGTTCCAAACTCCGAATTTTGACAATTGATCATCTTGCCCGATTTAAATCCTCCGTAACTGCTGAGCTCAAACAAATCCTTCTCGTATCTCGAATGATTTAACTCGGTAACCTGAATCACCTCGGCTAATAATCATGACCAAACCAAAAGATGTTCATTATAAATTCCACACGACCCGAAACTCCACTGTTCCTTTAAAATCGACTATTGACCAGCAGAAAGAAGGAAAATGTATGTCTGTCAAAATAAATTCTTCAAAGCAAATCCTCGCATCGATTTAACCCGAATCCACTGATATCTCAACACATTCAGCTCCATATGGTTCCGGAATCAAACAACATTTCTGAAATCCAACTGACGACTGAATCTCGGCTCTTGAATAAAATGTATTGTATCACGAGAAATCTGACGTCAAAATTGCTGTAAAATTCAGCCCATCCTCAAATAAGCCACATGACTCGGAGATGGAAACCCTAATCACTCGAGGAACTCCTGATGACGACTTGCTTCATGAATTGTCAGCAAACTGCAAATTAATGACCCTTTTTCCCTTCAACAATTAAATCGTAGACTGTGTGATTTTTCCTTCAAAACCAACGGACTGGGCAAACTGGTTAGTGGTTAGATAAACTGCGATGCCAACTGAGAGGGAATGCGAAATGAACCTAATAATCTAAGGGAAATTTTTGGGGTATTACACATCCCATTCAACCAGTTCATCAACCATTGTCTTAGCCCTCCATGCCTTACCTTTGGTGATGCGAACAAAATATTTTTGCCTTAGCTCAAACATAATTTCAGAGACTTTCACCTTATCTATGAATTGTATTTTCTCAACAACTAATTTGGAAACCCACTTGGAATTGGCTGATCTGTTATCTAAAACCCTAGCACATATGTGTGTCCCTACCCATGTTTTTAATTGGTAGGTGTGCATTTCACCAACTTTACTACACAATACTAAAAAACCACATTTTCCCTTACACTCTATCCTAACCCTATAGCTTTCATTCTTCACAAACTTTATCTCCCTACCATTAAGAATAAACCAATCTCTTATAGCATCTTTAAATTCACTTAATGAGGTAAATATGGTATAATCAACACACATTCTCCACTTCTTGTAAATGTTCTTGACTAACATGACATTGAAGATCCATTCAGTATATCTCACTTAGGAAATAAAGTTAGAATCAAGCAAGCTCTGAACTGTCTTCATAGTCGTTTTGGCCTTTTCGGGGAACTTGTCGTCCGCCTTCTTCGTTAAGACACATATCGGGCAAAGGATTGATGCTTAATCTATGGCGCACCACGCTTGCATCTATGACACACATACCGTGGGGGAGATTGCAAAGGTTGACATTAGCTCTTAGACATTCAACGAGTCTGTTTCCACCCTGGCCCATAAATAAGCTTCTATACAGGCTGACTGTGTTGGGTTATCATCAAGTTGGACAATTTCAAACTCACCATCCAGAATTTTCCTTAAGTTCTTCATATTGGCCTCGATCGATGAACTAGGCTCGTTGTCTTGCAAAATTTCATTTTGCTATACAACGAGATCGACCATGCTGACTGCATCATAAACCTTCTTCCTTCCCTTCTCTGAAGCGACAACGCTTTCTAGGTGGTTCCTTAGTATTGTCTCGTATATAAGGTGAGCTCTGCGTAGGTCAGCTGCGATAACGGCTGGTTTACCCAAATCGTTGTGATATTTCATCTTTAAATGGACCGTGGAAACCACTACATCCAACACTTCTAGGAAGTACTTTCCAAGAATGTCGTTGTAGACGCTTTCACAAGAGACTACACAGAAGCACACACACACAATCCTTTTGTTCTTTCCTTCCCCGACAGAAACTTATAGATCCATAGTTTCATATGGACGAGCTAAGGTATAATTGAATGTCATTAGACTCCTGCCTTCAGATGGTTTCAAATCTTGCTTGTATAACTCTAGTCTCATGAAGATTCTGATGTACATTAGGTTGTACGACTTCATCATCAATGAGGATCCCTAATACCGAGTGTTTCTATATGGTGGTGGGTATGACTAGCGAAAGCGTTGCATTAAGGGTTCCATCCACCTTTTTGTGGACTCGAACACTAAATTCGGCATGTCACCATCGCATTCTACGATTTTGTTGATTTGAGGAAGTTTTGGTGGAGGCTCTTTCTCGCCAAGAAGTCCATTGTTGATCGAATCAATGACGAGGATATAAGATGATCTCGGACTGGAATAACCTAAGGTGTTCTCAAAAACAAGGTCATAAGTCATCTTTTTCCGTATTGGCGTAACTGCTAGAGCGATCATAACTTGAATAAGAAGGATCCGATTGTGGAAATTCCCGGGAATCAATAGTCGATTTCTATAAATGGCGGCACTATTTCGTTATGAAATTAGAAATGTTAATGAACGAGTGAGATGGACCTTTAAGGCAGTGGAGCAAGTTTCTAGTATGGCTACACAATGAGTGAACCTACAAGATTAGTGCTCCAACGCTCAAATTAGTCAGAGTCCAAAAAAAGATCGATTGAGCTATGGTTAGAATCATACCTTAAATTTCATGTGGGCCCCTTATATATGAGAGTTGGTTAGAGATACCCAATGTTTCTCAAAGTGGAACGCGATAGGCCATCCGACTGTATCCGACGATGGTTAAAGGTATTGGTGTGGATCAGGTGTGGGGCTCCAAAGTATGGTTTCCATGTACCCTCGACACCTTGGTTGGGGCGACTTCAGATTCATATTTTTCAAAAGGGGTAACTGTAACAATCCAAACTTTATTAAAATTCTTGAGTGTATTACTGTAAATATATACAAGTTGTTATAGACATAAGCTACTAGAGTCACTCTCTTCATATTAATGTGCTAGCTCACTTTGTTTGTAAAACGTCAGTAAATATTTAATATAATAATTTCAATACAATTATAGAATAATCATTAAGACTTATAGTTCTCTTTTATCTTACAGGATGTTAAGATCTTTTTATTAGAAAAAATCAAAATTTATTAACAGTTTTCAAAGCATGGTTTACACATTTGAGACCAAACAAGACATTTTTACAATGCTATATTGAAATCATCCTGCCAAAATATGTTGTTTACTGTGAGGCATCTTGAATTTTTCGTATGTCTTATCTCGTCAACTGCCGATAAGCGGAGAATTTAAGAACAGTTGCAGCTTGATACAAGTCTTAGACATCCATGCATGCATTAGTTTTCAAATTCTCTCACCTCAATTTCCTTTCCCTGCTGAAGAGTTTCCTAAAGTAAAGAATCTCAGTTATATGATAGAATAAATAAAGTTAACTTGAAGCTTAAGTTTTCAAGCATAGATTATTGGAAGTTACCAGTTTCATCTTCAAATCAGAGATTGTCTTCTCTCTCTGATGAGCAAAAAACTTCAATGACTGAAAAAGCAGTAAGAAAATCAAATCAGTCTTGAATGTGAAATGAAAAAAAAATACAAATAAAGGAAGCCATCACTTACTCCAATTCTTTGCATTTCAAGAGACCTTTGCAATGCTTTTCTTTTGGTTAGAAGATTTTTCGCGATCTTTTCTTTAGGCCGACTATAGTTTTTACCGCGGTAAATAATAATAGCATGTCCCTCTTTTAGTTTATCAACTGAAACTAAAATTCCGCCACTCTCTCTTTCTATAAACTGTGCAGTGTAGATGACCCGACTGAGTAGTCTCTGCATCGTTATGACCTTCGCTACTTCTCTGTGTTTCCAGTGCTGATGCAGTCCTTCCAATACGCCGTCAAAGATTCCTCGCCTTCCTGCGCTCATTGTTGAGTATAGCTTCTTAGACAAAGGCTATACAGACAAAAATGGATAGAGACGAATTTGAAATTCAAGAGGTGAAATTGGTTTACCAAGAACTAGGCAACTTCTCATCTTCAATCCCATCTTTCGGAAACATTCTCTTTCCTCGTCTGTCATTATTTCCAAGTCTATATCTTCTCCAGAAGGTTTCCATGCAGCATTTATCTTCGATAATTCTATTGATGATCTCTCTATTTTCTTGTTAAGCTGCAGAAAATATATAATTGATTTTAAGAGTGTATCAGAATCTCACAATGAAATGCTTTATAACAAAGCGAAAAAATCGATAAACCAAATCTCACAATGAAAGCTTTATGCTGTTGCTCTTTCAATTCCTTCTCCAATCTATATATTTCTGCTTCCAGTGGAACGTTTAAATCTACATCGACTTCTTTTATGTTCTCATGCTTATTTTGAATTTCCATATATTCTGTCAAACTTCCACTTGTACTAGTATCTTGCGGCAGTTGAAATTCTCCGATAGAAGAAAAGGCTTGAATTGCTTTCAATCGAGTAACTTCTTCGTGAAGTTGACAACTTTTAAGCTCCAATTCTCTCTTTTCTACCAAATCTGCAACTCTTTTTGGAAGGAAATCTTTTCCCCTATAGAGTAATATATAAAACTTGTTGCGCAATAATAGAACTCCTCCGGTGAGACGCTGTATTGTAAAACATCTAAGTTATTCTTATCAGTTTCCCGATATATAAACCGAAACAAGCTAAAAAGGTGGTGCAATCCGCCAATCTCTCATGACTATTGAAAATAAAACATATATACAACATGAAATCCTTACCAATCACACGAAACTAATAAAATCGAACTCAAAGCAACATGAAAACTAAAGCTCACATACATAATACAACCGACTAAATTTTCTATGAAACTTGCCTTCAGTTCATTGGCCATTGCTTCATTGTCAGTATTCTGAACTCCGTACTTGATAGCAATTTTCACTATATGACTCTTGTGCCACAACTTTAAGATAGCAGCCGCTAAGCCTTGAAGTCCTCGGTTTCTTCCTTCATAATAAAGATCGAATTGCATCTATTTTTTAGCATCAAGCATAAAACAAGAAAATAAAAATCTATAATATATTTCAGCCTGATAAGAAATTGAAGAACTTAATCAAGAAGGAGGGTACTACCAAGAACAAAATGAGTTGGTAAAGGGTGCGAAATCTTTCTGAAGTATGTTAGTTCACCGGCAGTTAGTTTTACACTAGTATGAGGCGGACAAAGCCTAAATGGGGGCTCAAATCCAGGAACCACTTCTGGAAGTAAGTCAGCATCTACCGGAAGCGGCTTGTTCATCCACCAATCAATGAATCGAGGTCCTAAGCCGTCCAATAATCTATCACATTCCCTCTCATACAATGATCCGCTGGTCGGTTGGTAATTCACACCATGGACGTCAGTTGATTGAGAATCCTTATGATCAGCATTCCTGCTCAGTATCTCACTTGTAGTTCGGTCGGATTCAACCAGGTAATGATCATCTTTGGTGGCTGATTGCACCTCGCTCGTTTCATAAGAATTTGTTCTTTGACTAGGAATATAATCGGTATAGATCTTTGGAGAACCTTTAGAAGTCAACTGATAGTTGCAGCCTCTGTAAACCACCAGAGCATCCTTCTTACTCCATACAACCAAGCCTCCAGTCTTTGTCTATTCAAACAGGAAATGAACACTATATAGCCATCACATAACATGGAAGGATAACCCATAGCACAAAACAGAACAATTTGATTGATATTTCATATCTCTGGAGCACTGACACCTCTAAAAAAAGATGTGTCCATTTTAGTGTCGGTGTACCTGAAACTTGTAATTACCTTTAATTTATTCATTTTTTCAAATTATTACCGGTGTCTGCTGTGTCAGTGTCGTGTATTTTAGTGTCTGCGCTTCATCATAGTTTCATGTTACAAGATTCAATAAACAAAAAGATCACATAAGGATGTGGAGAAAGAAGCCTAACCTCAACAATTTCTCTAGCTCTATCCATATTTTTACATAAAGGGATATCAAATTTAACCATAGCAAGTTCATTTGTCCTCCAAGTCCTTTCAATTTCCTTCACAACATCTTGTGTAACACCAGCTTTCTTAACCTTGACCCAAATCCTCATTTTTGCAGCCTCACCCCTTAACCTTTGAAGCAACGTCTTATCAACAGCCAAATCCGCACTAGTTACAATTTTTTCCTTTCTCACCTTCAAAAAATCAATATTTTCATCCTTCTCCCATGGCATTCTACTCTTAGTCACAACCTTCTCACCCTCCATCAAACTCTCCAAACAAGCCCCAAAGTTTTCAACTTTTTTAGAACCCATTTGAGTTTCAGTCTTGTGAAGCTTCTTAACTTTGTGGGCAATTTTCTTCAAGGCTTTTTTGCCTTTAACTTCTTTACCGGTTAGAGATTTATCTGAAAGGTCGCGTTTTTCGACATTGGAACTGGGGTGTGGAGAGAAATTGGGAAGGTCTTTGGGTTGGAGAAGAGGAGCACTCATCCATGGAGGTGTTGGGGATTTGAATTTGACGGAAACATCACCGTGATGAGAATGAGAGTTGGTGTTGGAAATTGGAAGGGAAGTGGGTTTGTTTTGGTTTTTGGGGTTTGAGGAAAACGATGAAGATGAAATATGAACAACAGAATATGAATAGTTAAGGAAGAGCATGACGATGATCCTCAAACCCAACTGCAGTGTTCTTTTACATACCGGATGATGAATCTATCTAACACCAACCATTTTCAATTTTTTTTTATATTTATGCTTAAAAGAATAAAAAGAAAAAGAGAAATTTAAAATAAAAATAAAAAAGTGATTGAAATTCTGAAATTTAAATGAAGAAAATGATATAATGAAAATTTTATTAAGATCATGTTTACGGTTGCTCCAATGGCAGGGCACTCTATAAGGATATCAAATAAAGAAAATATTTTTTTTATAAAAATTAGTTTTCAAACGGACACTCGCGTGTCTGTCTGTCCGCATTTTTAATCCGCATGAATGAAAATATTAACGGTATTTTTTGTTTAAATAAAATTTTTAAAAAATACAATATATGAAAGTTAATAATAAGAAGTTATTAAGTAAATTATATAATAAACTAAGGGTAAAAATGGTAGAAAAATAAGTCACACCAAAATAAAGTATTTCTTTTATATATTGTATAGATTAATTATTTCTTTTATACTCGTTAATATTTTTCATTTTATTAATGATGGAAAAACAAAAATAAAATTATACGCGGAAGCATATTCACAAAAAGAAAAAGAAGCAATAATTCAAACAAAAACTCATAAAATCATACTTTAACTTGTAATTTTTATAAGGACAAAATCACAAACTCTCTTATACAATTGCAAATTTTAAAGAGAAAATTGCAAATTCTATTAATTACAATTTATGGACTCTCTTTCTTTCTCTCCTCACTAAAAGTGCCTCACGCACTAACAAACTGGTATCAAGAGCTCCTTTAGATTCTTGATCGTGTTTTTAAGAATCACATATCAGAGATCGTGTTTCTGGGATCGTGAGTTATTGTTGATCAATTGCTACAAAGATTAATTGGTAACGGAAATTTACCAAACTCCCTTCCAACTCTTGACAACAAGAATTGACTTCAACAGAGAAAACAAATGCAATCTATATTTGACTTTCATGAAACCCTAGAAGTGGTTACTAACGGTGTTCTTGTGTTAGGTGAAGATACAACTGACGCACAGAGAACCCTTCACAAGGATGTCGAGAAGAAGGATTGCAAAACAACGTCTTACATCCAACCGGCAGTTGATGTAGCTAATTTCGATAGAATCAGTCATGCTGAAATGGTGAATGACACATGGGATATATTCTTGTTAAGTATTATGAAGGAGGCGATAAAGTCAAGGTTTTCAAGTTGTAAACATTATGACGATAATATGAATTATTGCTGATGGGAGAAGACGAAAAGATTGCAGGCTATCTATCGAAGGTGCAGAAACTCATCTATCCCGTGAAGGATTATGGTGAAACCCTAACTGATAGGATGATAGTTGATAAGTTAATGTGTATGTTAACCTATTACTTTGATCATATTGTCGTAGCTATTCAAGAATCCAACAATCTTGAAACCCTAAAACTGGAAGATTTGGTTGGTTCGTTAGAGGCACATGAGATTAGGATTGTCGAAAGGAATGGAGATCATGACTCGATACAAGCATTATAACCTCAATCATGGAAGAAGAATGGTGGTTCCAACAAGTTCAAAGGAAAAATCGACAAGACTCAGGGCAAGAAGTCTTGGTCGTACCCTCACAAGAATAAGATTGATGATAGAACTTATGAATCCTTGAAAAGAGTGGAATAAATTCCTATCAGAATGACAAACTAGAGAAAAAATGTGTGCAGTGTTATAACTGTGAAAAATGGGGTCACTTGGCCAAGTATTGTTGGTACAGGAAAGATAATGGATTGACAAAAGGCAAGGATGAAGGAGCGAATATTGCACGTCAAGATTCAGATGATTATGATGATATGATGGTTATGGCTGCAATCGTAGATGACCATGTTGAATCCAAGATCTGGTTCCTCGACTCAGGCTGCTCGAATCACATGATTGGTTGAAAAGTATGGTTAGTAGATTTCGATGAGTCGAAGAAGAGCAAGGTCAAAATTGCTAATAATAGTTTGTTGCAAGCAGAAGGTGTAACACCCCCTTTCTATACCCCCAAATAATCAAATAATCATTTAGGCACGTATTGAAAATTTCATCAGAGTATAATTATAGACATGGTATAAAAGAGGTACGTCACATTATACTTAAAATTAAAACATACAACACCTGCTCAACAAAAGATATGCAATAGTGGGGTAACTTTGCAACAGAGGAACTTAGTCCTTACACCCACATCTCAATATTTAGAATAAAAGCCGAAAACCTAAACATTGAATATCATCATACATATAAACATATACATGTATTATCCACTGTGATTCATCAACACAAGTCATGTTTTCATAAACATTATCCACAAGATACATATACAAATGCATCACAAAATAATCTTATACAACCTAGCTACCCGGTGCTACATATCAGAATCGACCGACCAAAAAGAATGAAGACACGCTTCACAAAAGACCTCCAGCATACCTACTCTGCAATGCCTCATAGAGCATCATAAAACAGCAGAAGGGTGAGAAATATTATCATAATAACAATGCATATAATCATATATTTATAGCATAATATACACATATTCCGCATTCTCACCACAATTCATCACAATCCACTCATATACATCACAATGTGCATCATCATTTGAAATCATCGCTCACACCCCACATGGGCACACAATGTTCAGCGGATTCTCATAAGAACCAATCAACACAAGAATGCACATCATGATGCTTCACATGCAAAATGACTCAAAACACTCTTGAAATGCATACATATTCACAATATATATTCATGCATTCATCTCATACCATCACATACAATCCATACACATTTATATCAATTATGCCAAACGGCCACGAGCATCACTTTACCTCTCAATCGGAAAAGAACTCTATCACAATTATCATGCATTTACGTTTAATTTAAACCATGCATTCACTTGCCAAACGGCCACAATTCACAATCTAGAATTCACGCCATACGGCTACCCACAACATATCACATAACAACACACAAGTTATGCATTTAGAAAAAGATCGATCGCAATCGAGTCAAAGAATCAAAATTGGGTGGAAAAAAAAGAAATAAGAATGTTGTCATGCTCGCTACACCACTCGCCTAGCGAAGCCATATGGAACACTCTCTACTGGTTCGCCCAGCGAACAAGCTCGCGAAGGCAGTCTAAATGCTACTGGAAGTGTTCGCTACATTGCTCGCTGGAGCTTCGCCTAGAGAATACTTTGCTACATCACTCGCCTGAGAGAATAAGGGTCTATTCCATTTTGTCCAAGTCTGGGAGTGCTCGCTGGTAGCTCGTTGGGTACTCTCCTAGCGAACCCTTCGCTACCACACTCGTCAGCCATTCGCCTAGCGAATACGTTGTGACACAAACCCTCAATTGTCCAAAAATGTCAGAAGCTCACAAATTCACCCGATTTAATCCAACAAGTTCTAACAGTCTTAGCCCAACATTCCTCGACTAAACTACGCCATTTTATTTCAAATTGTAACCGTTAAAACATCAGTTTCTATCGATTAAACCAATTCGACCTAAAATGGAAAAAAATATGTGGAAAACCATCAAACAATCCAAACACGCACATACATAATGATATACATTGATAAGATGATAAGATTTCACACCCTTACCCGATTAAATCGAAAGCTAGAAGTTGTTCTTGATGATTTCCAAGTTTTCTTCTTTTCCTTCTCTTTTCTCTTCTCCCCTTTTCTTTCTCTCCTCTTCTTCTTTTTCTATTTTTTTCCTCTCCTCTTTTTCTTTTATATCATTCTATTCTCTTTCTTTCCATTCTATTTCTCCTCTCAAAATATCTACTAATTCTTTTTTCTCACAAAATAACCAATTTAACATTAATTAAGAAATATCTAAAATACTCTCCAACTTAATTTCCCCGCAAACTCTCAAAAATTATAAAATACCACAATATGCAAACATATTAACACACCAATTCCACAAATAAAATAATAATTATCCAAATAAAATGAAAGACTCAACAAAAATGGGAAATCAGAATTGGGGCGTTACAACTCTCCCCTACTTTAGAAATTTTCGTCCTCGAAAATAGTATCTGATCCAAACAACTCCGGATACGACTCTCGCATCCCACTCTCTAATTCCCAAGTCATATTGCCTTCCGAAGTGCCTCCCCACGCTACTTTCATAAGCGTAATATCCTTTCCTCTTAGCTTCTTAAATTCACGGTCCAGAATCCTAATCGGCAAGGCTTCAACCGTAAGGTTATTTCTCACTTCAACCTCGTCCATAGGAATAACATGTGACGGATACGGAACATACTTCCGAAGTTTTGAAACATGGAATACATTATGAAAATTCGAAAGATTCGGAGGCAACGCCACACGGTAAGCCACAACACCAACTCGTGCAGTAATCTGATACGGACCAATAAAATGAGAAGTCAACTTCTTCAACTTCAAAGCACGACCCACACCCGTAACTGTTGTAACTCTAAAAAACACATGGTCGCCTACTTAAACTCAAGATCCTTCCTTCTCTTATCATGATAGCTCTTTTTTCTACTTTTAGAAGCTTTCATCTTCTCTCGAATAAACTTCACTTTCTTTGTCGTTTATTGTACCATCTCCGGTCCAACTATCGACCTTTCACCGGTTTCATGCCAACACAAAGGTGTCCGACATCTCCGACCATACAAAGCCTCAAATGGTGCCATACTTATACTTGAATGAAAACTGTTATTGTAGGTGAACTCAATCAACGCTAAATAACTATCCCAAGCACCACCTTGCTCGAGCACACAAGCACGCAATAAATTCTCCAACGATTGAATTGTCCTCTCGGTTGACCATCCGTTTGCGGATGATAAGCCAAACTCAATCTCAGCTTAGAACCCAAAGCCTTTTGTAAACTTTCCCAAAACCTCAAAGTAAATCTAGGATCTCTATCCGATACAATGCTCTTAGGAATTCCATGTAATTTCACAACCACACGAACATAAATCTCGGCTAACTTCTC